GTCCTAGAGAACCAAGAATATGACACTGTTTGTCCCAGTATAATACAGCGTAATCCCAAAGTAATACTTAATTCCTTGCACTAAAAGCCCCTCCTCTTAGAATGGGGGACCACTTTTCTTGACTTCTACCAAGGTTCCTCCTACACAGGGGTAAAGCGACCAGGACAAAAAGAGGGAACTTTGAGCTCCTCCTAGAAGAGGTTTGAGTGTGTAGCCAGCCAAAAGAACCCTTTCATAACATAAAGCCTTTAATACTCGGAATAAAACTTTTTACCTACATTGTTCAGTATGGTAGCCACTAACCACACATGGCTATTTATAACTCAACATGAATTAAAATGAAACAGAACTAAAAATTCAGTTCTTCAGGCACACCTGCCATCTTCCGAGCTCAACAACCACATGTGACTGGTAGCTATCACAATGAACTGCAGTAGACACAGAACATTTCCATCATCACGGGAAGTTCTATTGATCAGCTTTCTAATAGGTGCTTTCTAAATTCTTTTTTCCTTTTACAAGTCCTCCTAATGAAGGATCCGGAATATTTCACTCCACTCTTCACTAGATTTTCCAAAACTGCCAGGAAATAAACTCAGAAGCCTATTCATTGACAATTTTAACATGTGCTTGTTAGATCCCTTGCCGTCAAAGCGAAAAACCTAAATATATATGGTCAATAGTCTAAAATGGTCTATTCTTTTAAGATACACATAAAACCTCTGTTAGTCAAAGCCCACAAACAAACTGGAATGCACAAGCTTCTGGTTGACAGTGGCATGGAAACAACACAAACTGAGTATGTTAAAAAATGGAATGAAACAAATCTAAATTTTTCCTAGGAACTATTTGAGTGGTATGCCATATTTCTTGTATATCTTTCAACAATAATGCAGAGAGAAAAGTCTTGTCTGCAAACACGAGAGAAAAATCCTCAGAGATAGGCAGTCTATTAAAATGGTTTACAGGGACAAAGTTATCTTTTGGCTCCAAGTTACCTTTGCCCTGTTGGTTCTCACAAACAATAACAAGGCTTGATAGCTAAAATGAAAGACCACATAAATATACCAGACTGTGATTTGTCTGCTAGAGTATCACATTTTGTTAAAAAATATTATGACAATTAGCAATGAATAAATCTAAGGAGTACCCCTAAAAACTTTATCATTTGTTTGTTAGGCAGAAGAGTCCCTACCACTTTTAAGTTTGTCTGATAAGCAACCAGCACTGATCCAGCAAAAACAAGTTTTCTAGGTCATACAATCACCTTGCATTTCATCTTGAGGCAGAGCTAGAAGTACACATCTGTTTCAAAGACGTAAAGCCAACTCTCAAGAGGCAAATTTTTGGAAAACACCCAAAAAATATGGGACTTGAGAATGAGTTTTGCAGTGCATTAGATTAACAGACTAAAGTGTGAATACAGCATCTGGCTTAGAAGTGAATGCTTTCGTGAATTCCAAGTCTAAATAGATCTTTCAACTACTACAGCATGGTCTGTGCTGAGAGCTCTCCCTCCTTTGAAGTCACCACACTTAGTGTCCGCTTTAGTCAGGACACTTCATTACACACTGCCTGCATACCATCCCTTGTGCAGTCTTCTACAGCTTTTTAACTCTTTGATGTGTGTATACAGATTTCAACTGCACGGTAAGCTATCAGACTGTACATTACAGTTATTTTATTAATCCTAACTAACCTAGCAAACAGCCCTGTACACAGTAAGCAGTCAAGTATTTGGTGAATTGGAGATATGAAGAAAAGGCCTATAAAAAAGGAGAAAACCCATGCAATGGTCAGACAAAAGACCACTTATTCATTTATCTGACTCCAAAATTAAGCTGGAATTGAATTGTTAGTGGACAAATTTTCTGCTGGCAAACAAACAAAAGGCAACAAGACTGCAGAACCAAACGATAATCTACGTAGCAAGGCGATCTTAACCACATCCATTTTATCCAAATGATTCAACAAATATCAACAACAGGACAGGTCAGACTTCAAAATGAAGCTCTTTTGTAACCATAAACAAATGTTTATATCTGACTTTATGTTAAAATCCTGTGTGCTTAAAATACTTTCAATGTGCTTTTAATACTTGGATAGTATTTAAAATAGTGCTTTGGTAGCAAAATCCAAGAATGATTAATTCAATTTCATTATTTGCCATTTTAATACTTCCATTGTATAGAAAAGAGGACAGAGGCTCAGTCCAGAGAAGGGAAGTGATGTGCTTTAAGGTTATTCAGGAAGGTGGTCAGTGCAGAACCTTGGGTAAGACAACACTTTCTGGTGCCTTCATGTGATGAGATGAAGCTGCCACATCAACATGCTGAAACTATGAGAGTTTCATAGAAAAGCTGACATTCCTGTATATTTCTTCCTCCCTTTCAAACTTACAATTTACTGAATTGTTACAACTGAATTTTGATAAGACATTTCAAATACATCAGACCAGAAATATAACTAATATACATGGTGTTCCTTCTCTGTGAGCCTGACATGAGTTCAAGTTTAAGCGAGCAACATTAGTCAGTACAAGAAGTTCCTCATGATCCAAATCTTACTGTACTACTTTGTTTCTATTTTGTGAAATCTAAAGCCAAAGGATTGCTGAATTTGTTTTTGCAGTTCTCATCAACACAAAAGGGAAAGAAATTTCTTAATTATTTATTCTAAATGGGCATTTCTGAAACTGGGATCTAAAAATTTGTTTTCATGGGGTTTGGGATTTTCTGATCATTTTTTAAGGTTGTGTTTTCATTCTCATAAGCAAAATCTGGATTACTTAGACATCCACCTCATAACTAAGGAAGGCTATGATTTCAGTGACCATTTTTGCTTCTAGGCCTAAGATTATATTCATACTAAGTCTCTTGGAGAGACAGAGCTTAGTTTTCAATGTAGTATTTTTCAAACTGGGTTTCAAAATCCACATCCTGAGGTTGAATTTTGAGTAATACCACTCTCAATTTTCATAGTTTCCAAAATTCTCCTCCTAGGATTTATTTATTTGGTGAATTCAATAAATGTGAGTAAGAGAGACCAGAACTTGTCCTTAAGGAGCTTATAATTCTGGCAGGAAAAAACCAGCATTGTAAATGAAGAAGTCTGATTGGTTGGAATCACTTAAGAAGTACAGCCCTCCTTGTCAACTGCTACTATGGATCAGAGAATCCACCATCATCATCTACATATTCCCAAAATATTCTAAGAGCTTGAGGTCAATTTGGTCTTATCTTGTCTGTGACAGGTTACCTTTTTAAAATTCTTTAGAGAAGCTCATCTCCTTTCCATGCTTTATATAAAGTTGTGCTTCTCATAACTGGGCAAAGGTGCAACCCAACTAGATATTTCCTGGTTCTTTTGAGAAGTAACTTTCCGGATATATTTATATTCTGTGAGGTTTTGATAGCACAGTACTTTTTTCCTTTGATTGGGAAATGTCTATGGGTAAAAATAGTTCAAGCAGTTGCAAATGCCTAATATGTGTTTCTAAACTCAAAAAAGTTCATGGATAGATGATAAGGAGCACAATACAAAATCTCTCCCCATAATTTAACCTTAATGATCTTGAATAGAACAACAGATGAGATTTAGAGAACAGTGGCTATTAGCTACTACTTTAATCCACTCTCTAAGCTATGACTTTAATGACGCCCTTGTTAAAAAAAAGAGGAGCAGAAGACCCAAAGGCACATGTTACCAGGCAAATCAGTTTAATTTTTTAATTGAGAAATGGGTGACAAATTCCTTGAACAAGAATTAATAGGTTTGAAATAGCTTAGTTTCTGGACCAAATTCTCTAAGTATCAATGCCCCAGGATGAACACCACTTGAGCCAAGGTCTTTCCAACTTTGGGGCAATCGCCTCCTTTAGTCTAATTATGATTGTTCTTACTGGCTTTTACCCCAAAAGGAGCTCCAAAACAATGCCAAACCTACCAGAAAAGAAGTACACATATACTATGACCATGACCAAGAAGTAGTTCAGTGAAAACTAGGAGAAAGGATCCTATCAGAATCTGTCAGCAGACACTGTGATTAGGGAACTAGCTTACCTAAGAACAACTCCCTGTCTGCCAGAAATACTAATTTGAACGCCTAAAAGTCCGTAGAAACAGCGAAATGATAACCCGGCTGCTGATAAAATTTCTAGCCCAAACTGAGGCTCTATTTATTCAGACACACAAGGAAAGCCAGATGCACGCTGAGAACTTTGTCACCACATTCGGCACAATAACTAAGGCAGAGGAAAACTGGCTTTCACGAAGGAGCTTAGTCAGAAATATCCATAGCAGGGCCGCAAACCAATCTCACCCTGGAGGCAACGACACTCCAAATTCCAGTCCAACACTCGGAAAGGCTAACTTTGTGCTCCTAACTCCACGGTAACAATACACTACCTGGCCATAATCAAGCCTTTCCAATTCTCCAAAGCATCTCAAGTCTTACTCGTCCTTCGTAGCTCAAGTTAGAAACAAGGCGACTGACACAAAGGCCAGTCGTCCGAAGGAGCTTTTTGTAGGGCCTGCCACTGCCACTCACTTGAAAATTCCTAAGCTTGGGGGCTCACCGGCCCCGCTCTTCTACCCTTCCTCAATGCCGCCCCGGCTGGTAAGCCTCTGCCTGGGAGCCCCTCCGCTTGGAACAAAGCAAGGGGCCGCGGCGGTGGGGACAAGAGGCGCCAGCGGCCCGGGGGTTGCCGCACAGCGCACAATGAGAAACTACCAACTTCAGGGCGCAGGAATATCCTCAATTGGCAAGAAAAGAGGGGCGGCGGCAGGCACGCCCAACTTCAAACTCAGGAAACCTACGGGCTGGCGGCCGTCTGGAAAAAAGCCCCCTTCCCAGGGAGAGAAGAAAAAAGGCGGAGATGCGACTCGCCCACCGGGCCCCGGAGGGGAGCCCTGCGCTCACACCGGTCCCCGCCCCCGAGGCCCGCTTCCCCGCCTTCTCTCTGCCTCTGGTTCGCGGCCCCAGGCCGGGCGGCCGGTTACCTTGATGCGCTCCCGGCACTGGGACGGGGTCCGCTCGTAGCCCAGCTCGGCCAGGGCCCGGGACACGCGCTCGTACATGGCCGGCCCGGGGGCCTTGCTGCCGAACACCGTGCCGGCTCCCTCCAGCTGCTGGTACCGCGCCTCCACCAGCCGCTCGTTGCCCCACACTGCGATGAGCGCGTTCGTCTCGGCCGGCGTCCACGACATGCCCCGGCAGGCGGCGGCGGCGGCTGCCGCAGCCCCGCCGCCGCCGCCACCAGAGAAGGAGACCGAGGACGAGGCGGCGCTGCGGCCCCCCAGCCCCAGCCCGAGACCCCCGGACGCCGCTGCCCCCGAGCCCGCCGCACTGCCCGGCCCGAGCGGGGAGGCATCCCGAGGCGTGGACGGGTCGGACAGCGATGGATTTCCGTCGCTCAGGCCACCAGGAGAAGCCGGGGAAAGGACCTCCATCTTCGGGATTTTTAGCGGCGAGTTGGCGGGCAGCTCCGAGCCACAGGGCGCAGCCATCTTCCAAGCGGCCGCCGCTGCACCGCCCGGAAATGACGTTCCCGCACATCCGGCCGCCTGAGTCTCCGGGGTCGCCCTCGGGCCTGGCTCGCCGGGGGGCGGGCGGCCTCGCGCCCCTGCTGCGGGCCGGAGGTGGGCCGCTCGCCCCGGCCTGTCTCCGCGAGCCCTCCCGCGCCGGCCGCCCCGCTCGCGGGCCGAGGGCCGGGGGGCCGGCGCGCCGAAGGCCCGCGCTGAACAGAAGGGCGGGGGCATGAGGGCGCCGGTGTGAGGAACAGATTGGAGCCTTCCCACTTCCTCTCCAATCTCAGTCCCCGGGAGGAGGGGTGAGGCCTGCGAGGGGGCCCGGAGTTAAGGAGGACGCGACCATGGCGCTCGCCCGCTCGCCGCTGTCCCTCCGCTCGGCCTCTCTCCGACCCCGGGGTGCCGAGGCTGACGTCCAGGGCGGGGACTGAGGGAGCCAAGGCGGGCAGATCCCGGGAGGCGCCGCGGCCGAGGCAGCGCGGGTCTGGGAAGGCTTTAAAAGGCGGTTGGGGGCCGCGGTTAGCGTTAGTGCGCTGCGGCGTTTCCAGCAGCCCGAGCGCAGTACTGGAAGAAGAGCAGCTCTGATTCCAGTTAGGACCTGTCTTCCAGTTTGTCTGGGTACGTGTGACTGTAGAATATTTAAACGTTTTCTGTCGAGTCTGTACTTTTGTCCATAGCTGAAAAATCTCCGAATTCCGGGGCCCAGCAGAAAAGGCACGTCCCGGTACCACTGCCCATCCTCCCTAATTTACGCAAGATAGGTCGTTTTCCACCGTGGAAGTTGCGTCGTTTTCCCACCGTTTCATACTTTGAAGTGTAAGGAGATTGAAAAGACTGTCAATTGTGACAGCCTTGTGGCCTCTGCAATTAGCGTATTAAACCTCAGAACTATAATACTCCTTAAAGATCTGCACTTTAATCAACATCGGCACACCAGATCCAATACAGAGCTGTAAAGTGTTTCCGTATTCTTCAAAGCCAAAAATCGAATTATCTTGCATCTTTAACTTAAAAGCCACGGCGGATTTTTTTTCTACATATGAATAAGCCATGCAACTTTTTTTTTTTTTATTGAAGGGTAGTTGACACACAGTATTACATTAGTTTCAGGTGTACAACACAGTGATTCAACATTTATATACATGATAATTCTAGCTACCAGCTATCACCATACAAAGTTGTTACAATATTTTGACTATATTCCTTATGTTATACATTACATCCCGGTTACTTATTTATTTTACAATTGGAAGTCTGTACTTTTTTGTTGTTTGTTTTTTGAGAGGGCATTTCTCATATTTATTGATCAAATGGTTAATAATAAAATTCTGTATAGGGGAGTCAATGCTCAATGCACAATCATTAATCCACCCCAAGCCTAATTTTCGTCAGTCTCCAATCTTCTGAAGCATAATGAACAAGTTCTTACATGGAGCCATGCAACTTTTAAAGTAGCAAATATTTAGGTTTAAAAAAAATAGAGCTGACGTCAGCTCTGAGGTTTCTTTTTAACTCAATCACTTGAGAGAACGGTTGTCTCTGAAAAGCCAAAGGAATAAGCAGTAGGGATAAGTAGAGGAGATACCTGTGCATGTATGGCTATTAAAATGCCACCATAAGTTACCAGTATGAAGATACATAATGAAGTTCCGTAACATGCTCTCTTCCTCTTTTTCTAAGAAAGACGGTCTAGCACCTTAGTTAAGCGTACGGATTCCAAATTCGCAATCACACCGTAAATTGATCACAGGGATTGTTGAACCACTGTGATGTACATTTGAAACCAACATAAGATGGTATATTACCAATACTTAAATCAAAAATTTGTTTAAAGAGTATGGCTTCTAGAGTCTAAATGCCTGGCTTCAAATTGCAGGTCTGTAACCTCAGCCAGTTTCCTTAACCAACCTCTCAATGCTTTGATTTCTTCATCTACAAAACGACGATGACTCACAGTATTGTTGTGAGAATTAAATGAATTAATACAGGTAAAGTGTTCAGAATTGTGCCTGACTCACAGTAAACATTATAGGAGCAATAGCCATTATCTCACTCTGTCTATACAATAGTCTCCATATCCGTGGTTTCAGTTACTTAGAGTCAACCCCTCCAGAAGCACAGGATTCTCCTCACATGTGGTCAGGAGATTAATGAGTAACCTAACACTAAGTCACACCTGGATCATTCACCTCACTTCATCTCATCACACAGGCATTTTATCACCTCCCATCACCACAGGAAGGGGGAAACAGTACAGTAAGATATTTTGAGAGGGAGAGACTGCATTCACATAACTTTTATTGTTATAATTGTTCTAGTATATGTTATTATTGTTAATCTCTCACAGTGCCTAATTTATAACTTTGTCAAAGGTATATACATGTAGGAAAAAACACAGTATATGTAGTTTTGTACTATCCCCAGTTTCAGGCATCCACTTGGGGCCTTGGAACAGACCCCCCAAGGATAAAGGGTCTATTGCACTCTAAATATAATCTTCCCTCTGTTGCTTTCTCTCTGCCATTGGTTTTCAATGTTCTCATTTTCAATTCTCTTAACAGCTCTAGTCGAGTCTCAAACAACTATCAAAGCAAGATTCACTCTCATTCAGCCCAACATTAAGTTTTTTAAATGACATAAGCTATTTAGTGTATATGAAAGAGAGAGTAATACCTAAATCATACACAAAATTAGAGACTCCAAAGAGTTTTAAAATCACTGCTTATTCTGCCCTCATTTTCCCACAAGCCTGAAAAAACCACTCCCTTCTATTGTTAATTCTGGATAATTCTCAAATCAACTCTGACTCATGAAGGAAGCCTTCCTAGATAAAGTGGGTCGACTGAGAAGTCTCCCTTCCCACAAAACTTCCATTTCTAGACTCCCCTCCCTTTATTCTCACACCCATCAGTCTACAGAGTAAGAAAAAGTTGTATCAAAAATAAAGTTTCCAGTAACATCCTAAAGTTAAAACTAAGCCAATAAAAACTATGAATACGTATTATATAGTATAGAGGCACTGCTCTATAAGCAACCAGGATCATGTGTTTGCCAAGGTGGCTTGCCATTGCTGATCCTGAATTCCAGAGATTGTGTGATGTGCTTGTTCAAGACTTCATAGTTCAATCAGAATTCATGGAATGGCTACCGTGTTTGAAATAATGTTCTACACCTTTTACAATGAATCCACATGATAGTCATTAGTAGATAAAAACCTGTTTAAAACAATGCATGAAACATCTCAAAAGTAAAATAATGTACAGAATATAGAACAATATACACTAATCTTCTACCTGCAAACTTAAGTACTCTCTTTAGTTGTATCCTTCTCTCATCCATTTCCTCCACTATCTCTGTCAAATGTGTGTTTTACTAGGTTTTCTGTGAAGCCTTCCCTAACCAGCTGGATAGAAGTCCTCCATCTAATGTCCATTCACACAACTTAGCACTTCACATTGTTTCAAAAGCTTAGTTAATTCTGTTGCATACCCTCTCACTGTGTTTTATGACTGTTCATGTGTTTGGTGTTTTATCTTTTTTTTCCCTTCACATTTCACATCAAATCCTGTTACCTCTACCTCTAAAATATTTCCTAAATCTGATTACTTCTCAACCGTAGTTTAAACGTCCATTATATCCTGACTGGACAACTGTACTTCCTATTTGCACACTTGCCTGCTTATACAGTAATCAAAGTGAACTTGTGACATAGGCATATAGAGGAATACATAAAACATACCAGTACAACTATGATATGAATTATTATACAGCAAATACTAACCACCATCCAGTGATGAAATAGAATATGGCAAGCACTCTAGAAGCCCTGCCCCACAATCCCTTCCCAGCATTAACTGCTATCTCCCTTACAAACATACTACTATCCTGACTTGCCTTACTTTATAATTTTATCACTTTCTTGTGCATTGCTTAAAGTTTTCCTTGCTTTGAAATTTTTGTAAATGAAATCACATGTATTCTGGGTCTGGCTTCTTTCATTCAATATTATTTTTTCATTAAGATTCATCTACTCTGGATGAGGTTGCAGTTTATTCATTCTGTTGCTATAAAATCCTCCTTTATGAATATATCACATTTTGTTTATCCATCTTACTGTTGGATTCTTGGGTTGTCTCTAATTTAGGATATTATGAATAATGCTGCTACAAACGTTCTTGTACATGTCTCCCGGTGCATATGTGCAAGTAGTTCTGCAGGGTAGATGCCTCCCTTCCTCCCTTCTTTCCTATTTAGATCCCCAAATATTCCAATTCCATTTACTGAAGAGACCAGCCTTTCCCTGCCTCTTTCACAGCTCCATATTTGACATAAATCAAGTGTCCATATGTGCATGGGTCTGTTCCTGGACCCTTCTATTACACTGGTTGGTTGGTCTATCCATTTTTCTGCTTGAGTCCCTTATGGCAATTTCACACTGCCTTAATAATGAGTCATACTGGCTTTACAATGAGCCTTATGCCAACTAGAAAAAGTCCCACCTCCTCCTCTATGTTTTTCTTTTTCCTTCTTCAAGAGTGGCTTGCTATTCTTGATCCTAAACATTTCCATATACATCTTAGAACTAGCTTGTCAAGTTCTACAGAGAAAACTGCACAGTTTGATTGATATTGTACCTACTCTATGGACCAATTTAAGAAAAATTGACATCTTTATAATAATGAGTTTTACAATCCTTGAAAATGATATATCCCTTCATTTATTTCATCTTTAGTTTCTCGCAATAAAGTTTCATAGTTTTCTGCATATAGGTCTTACACATTTTTGTTGAATATATTCCTAGGGAGTTGGCATATTTTTTTAACACTCCTGTAAAATGGTATCATTTTTAAACAGGTCCACACATTATCTGACTTCCAATAAGAAGTCAAATCTGTGTTCCCTCCCCTTGGACCTGGGTGAATCTTTGTGACAACCTCAGTGAACCACATGTAGTAAAAGTGACACTTAGTGACTTTCAAGGTTAGGTTTGGAAATACCTTGAAGCTTCTGCCAGTTTCTCTTGATTTACTTGATCCAAAAACCTTTAGGCGCCATGTCAGAAAGCGGGCTACTCTTCAGTCTGTGTGCAGAGACCACATAGAGAGAAAATCAAAGAGCCAGAATGTTCCCGCCTCCAGTTGTTTGTCTACCCAGCCCAGCCTCCAGACATGTGAACGAAGAATCTTGGGGACAACCCCAGTCTAGCCACAGCCTGACAGCAACCACATGACAGACCCTTAGCAAAAGCTGCCTGGCTGACCGAGGTACCCCCCAAATTCAT